TATATATATATATATAAAATTTTTTTATTTTTATTGTTCTTGCTCTGTTTATGGATCATAATTGTGTCTAAATAAAGAGGATTGATAAACCCCAGATTAATACAGATTTTATTAAACTGGGTCCAAACAACACGTGACTGTTGAGAAATAAACAGTAAAATAATCAATTTGAAGATCGTCTCAGGAATGTTATTTTTATTTTCTTATAAAACTGGAATCAGGCAGATTAATCCTGTTGACAGCCTTAAATAAAAACAAAACAAAAGAAAACAAAACAAAACAAAACAAAACAAAAGAAACAAAACAAACAAAACTGCCGGCATGAGGAAAACAGTCGGCGGTGCGACGCTGCCATCTAGTGTTCAATTATTGAATTACATTTACCTTTGCAGAACTGCCTGGAGGAAACAACTCACTGCAAAAAAAGATTTACCAAGCTGTTTTCTTTAGTTCCCTGTACAAATATCTTAATACGCTTGAAAAAAGACAAAAGTAACAAGTAACTTTTCAGGAGGTTGTTTTAAGTCAGTAATTCTTTAATATTGATTTTTATAAAATCCTGGTAGATTATTTCACTTCTCACATGGGAAAATGTTTTGTTACAAGAGGAACTAATAATTCATCAATATTCAGAAGTTATTGACTTAAAACAAACTGCTATATGTTGCTGAAAAGTTATTTGTTAGTTTTGTTTTATTTGAGGTGCAATAAGATATTTGAACTAGAAACTAGACCAAAATACTTGATAAGATTTTGTGTTTTTGCAGTGACAAATCAGTATTTCTTTCTACTTTCAGAAGCTGCTTGTTCATATTTCCATATAAAACTAGAAAAGTAAAACGTTTAGGTTTTCATATAAAGATGAATTTCCATGGATGGATATAATAATGTAGATTTGTTCTGTCTCTGCTGCAGACAGAGACGTCTCCTGTGTTTTCAGTGAGGTCTGCCTCCTGCCATGCAGCTTCCAGCCGGCTGATGGACCGGCGGTCCGCTGGACTCGGCTGGCAGCAGGAGGATCTGTGGTCCATTCTTACTATGACGGCAGAGACCAAGTCCAACACCAGAACCAGAACTTCAGGGGCCGGACGTCCCTGTTTGTGGACCAGATCTCCTCAGGAAACGCCTCTCTGCTGCTGACCGGAGTGAAGGTCCAGGATCAGGGCCGATATGTGTGCAACTGCAGCAGCTCAGCAGGAACCAGGCTGGCCTTCATCAGAGTCTCAGTGGACGGTGGGAACACAGGATTATTTTAACGTCTTAATGGAAATCTGCAGAAGAACCTGCGATCAGATCCAGCAGTTCTTTACCAAACATTCATGTTTTTCCTCTAGTTTCTACTGCAAATGTCTCAGTAAACTTGAAATAAGACTAACTTAGAAGTAACTTTCCAGTAAGAAATATGAGCTGGATTAAAGTCAATAATCCCTTCAGATTGAGAAAAAGGTTTGGATAGAGCTGGCAGATTATTTCACTTTTAACATGGAAAAATGTCTTATCATAAGTTAAATAATCTGCCAGTGAAACTGTGGCTTTTGGTCAATTATTGACATAAAACAAACTCCCATAAAACAAACTCCCATAAAACAAACTCCCATAAAACAAACTCCCACATCTTGCTGAAAAGTTACCTGCATGTTAGTTTGTCTCATTTCAGCAGCACTGAGACATTTTCACTAGAAAATAAAAAACATTCTTGGTAAGATTTTGTGTTTTAGTAACAAAATGTGTGCAGCTCCGGTGAAGACGGTCAGCCTGCAAAGAGCAGAGAACCGGATCATCTGCAGCTCGGATGGGATCTACCCGGAACCGAACCTCACCTGGTCCACCGAGCCGCAGTCCAAGTTCGTCCTCCACAGCTCCACTCTGGTGCAACTGACCGAGCAGCGGCTGTTCAACATCAGCAGCTCCCTGACGGTTCCAGACAACGACACGGACCTGACCTACGTCTGCACCGTCACAACCCGGAAGAACCACAAGACCGAGAGGCTGGTCAACCCGGAAACAACAGGTGATTGTTTTAAAGTGACCCGGTCGTCCTAAACCAATCAGAGTTCAGATTAAATCTGGATGTCAGATTAAACCTGGATGCCAGATTAAATCTCCATGTCAGATTAAATCTCCATGTCAGATTAAACCTGGATGTGAACGCGCTGTGTGTTCAGGTCGGGCTCAGGGTTTGGGGATCGTCGCTGGAGTCATCTTGGTGTCGATGTCAACGATGGCGGTTCCGTTCTGTGTTGAAAAATGTATCAAGGTGAGCCTGAGTTATTCTTTTGTTGAAGCAGTGAATAAATACAGAATTATAAAAAATATCTCTCAATATTTATATATTTATGTTTAAATGTCTGTACTGAGACCAAATAGAGACTTTTAGAAGTTAAATTCTTCATTTTTGTAACTAAAGCTGATTCTGACCAGTGGAAACGGGGATGTTTCTGTTTCCCTTCAGTCCAGGAAGTCCAAACGGTTCCTGCAGCAGAACATTTTATTAGAAGGACCACCAGAGAACGGGTCAGTCAGCAGTCGGGGGTAAACCAGCTGCACTCCAACCTGTTTCTGTTTTCCAGAATTTCACTTTTGTTCAGTTTTTGGCAGGACTGAAATCTAGTTTCTTTCTGCAGGAGCCTGATGGAGACTCCAGACTCAGAGGAATCTCAGATTCTCCACCCATAGGAAAACCAAACCGGTTAAACTGGGTGGAGCTGAAAACGAGCTGACCTCACTGGGAACGATGGACCTGATGGCCTGAGAGCCCAGAAGAACATGAAGGATCAACACACCGACCAGAACCAGAACCAGAACCAAACTGGTCCATCTGGAGGGAAACTTTCTGAGCTGCTGCTGTCAGACACACAGTCCCTCAGATCTATGTGACGTTTTCTACTCCAACCTGTAGAAAATGTTTTACTGATGTGAAAATTAGGCTCTTTATATTTTTGCACTTATTTATTTGTAGCTGATTTATTTTGAATTTTCTCTTTTTTTCTAAGAGAAAACAAACTCACTGTTCTGTTATATAATAAAATGTCTGTTAGAGAATTTTTGGTATTATAATTTTATTACTTTAGTTCATATTCAGTTTAATGTTAATCAATAGTTAAACATCCAGTCTATAGATTATTAAAGTGTTTTCTTCCTTCTGTGTGTATAAACTGACCTGGAGGCTCCATCTGCCTGTTCGTCTTCATGTGAAACAGTTAACTGAGTTTCCCAGACCTTAAATTATGTTTCCTCAGTTGCCTCCTTATCAACCAGAATACTCCCTACCTCAGAAACTGTCTGTGCACAGTAACATATTGTCTCTGCTGTCTTCCTTACCTAACCTCCTTCTTTTTGCTCGATAATAAAAGACGAGCTGTAACCGAAGGTCTCCAGACGCTCAGTGAACGGCTCGGAGGAGCAGTTTGCTGAGACTTCTCCTTTTGCAAAAGCTTGGTCAGAAAACTCGTATACGATGTCTGTGGTAAATACCCATCAATGTCATTAGTTGAATTTTATATATAATTTGTTTTCATTGTTATTACTGTAAATTTCCTCCTTCCCAATCATGTTTATTAGTACATTAAAGTGTGAAAAGCAACTTAATTATTTTTTCAGATGAAAATATTTTATTCCTGCTTTTCCCTTTAATTTCATCTGAACTGCTTATTTCACAGAACATGATCCCTTTTATTTATGATGTAATAAAGGTATAACAACCTGATAATAACTGGTTATATAAACATCGATGTTTAAAAACATTATTTGTAACATTACAGCTCAAGCTGCAAAGGAACAATAGAACAAACTCAACTAATCAGATTTCTGTCTAAACATTGTGATAAAAACAAAACGGCATCAACAAAAATAAATCAGAAAACTTAAAATCTGAAATGAATACTGAAGAAACCTGGTTCACTTCTCCCAGTTTCATTTTAAACATGGATGAAATGTTAAATTCTCTATAACTTCAGTGGTTCATGGTTTTGATCTGTACTTCAGCTACACTCAGTTCAGGACTCTTTCGCTTTCGCATTAAACTGGTTGGTTGAGATTATTGACCAACCCGCCTTGTTTGTTCCTACCGAGTCATTTCAACACAATGGTTGAACTCAGCTGGTTCGTGTTTTTACTCGTCTTGACTTTTCCGTTTAGTGTTTCTCAAGAAGGTAAGTCAAAGATTTGATAGATTTTAATATTCATGTCAGCATGAAGGCGCTACGGTCTGGAAGCTCTGTGGTGCACCTTCAAAATAAAAGCACGCGAGTAGAAGATTTTAAAATTGTTCGCAAAAGTGGTGAATTATTATTATTATTTTTGGGTGGGGGGTTGACTGTCTCCAATATTTGGGGGACAATGTTGGAGACAGTCACTATAGTTTTAAAGGAAAAGTCATTCTTCGTTCTTATTTAGTTCATTTAACTCTGCAGGTCATCCCTGACGTCAAACTGTGCCACAGAAAGTTAACACAATAAAAACTGTCATTATCAGCAGCATTGTGTTAAATGGCACAATACTACAGAAAATATACCTCAGGAGGAACACAATGATGGATTATAAAGACATTCAGCAAGAACTTTAACTGAAGTAAAAATGTTGGTGTGGTTAAGAACATTGTTTGGGAACTTTCTCTCCTGTCGCATGTGATTGACATGTGGGAACGTTTACAAATAAAAATGTTCCGATCCAGGCGAGTCATGGAGTCTGGAGTTGGTGATTCGTCTCTGGAAAACAGTTCAACTTCAGTCAGGATGGACTGAAGTTGTTTGTGAAAGAAAACATGACAGAAAGTAATAAATTATGGTCACCAGTTCATCCACTTCCAAGTATAAATAGATTTAATTTCTCTGTTATCCAACTGGTCTTACCTGGAAAATGCCTTTCAAACCTGTCAGGCCTCATTTCACTGGATTCATCAGTAGCTGTTTAATTTGCTTCTATGGTTTTCATGATTTCATGTTTCTCTGTTTTAGATCTTTTCTGCTTTTTCATTAATAAATAGACTGAGGTTTTTAGACCACAGTGTTATGTGAGCCACAGGATTTTGTCTCCTCCTTTTTCTCTCCAGTTTTTTTAATCTCAGATTTGTTCCTCTGCCTTTTCGCTCGTTCCTTCCCAGCTGTTCCACATCTCATAACTTCCCTCTGCTCTCCCCAGCTGCCTCCACTTACCTCTGATTAGCTCCCAGGTTCACATGCCACTGTTCCTGTTTTAATGCCATCCATTAAAGTTGCATTCAGATTTTGTCTTAAAACCAACAGAACACTATTTTGGTTTTCGTGTCCAGAATTTAATTTTCTTTTTAAGACAAAATTTGCTTTATTTAATTTATGATGATTATTCTCTGCAAAGCAGCATTGGTATCTTGAGATCAGAGCGTTTTATTAATATCAAATATGTCTATGCAGATAAAAATTAAAGCAATACCAATGAACCCAAATATGGTAAAACCTGTTGAGCAATACTATGGGACACAAACGTGAATGAGACCCAAAGCGCCAACAGCCCAGGACTGACAGGAGCTTAAACAGGCAGCTTAGTATGATGAGAACAACATTAAAAAGGCTCAGATAAACTTGACATGCCTGTGTGTATTAAATACAAAATTTAAAACAGATGATTTAAGATGTAAAAACACATAACTTCAGTGGTAAACATGAATCCATAAAAAGACTGAAGTGGACAAGGAGCAGCCGTCCTGCATCTTTACTCCAACAGACCAGGATCAGCTCTGAACAGACCTGCTGACCTCCTTTCATTTGGCTCAGGTGTGTCGATTGGAGCAGGGAAGCTGCAGGACGGCACCTCTCCAGGTCTGGACTTCAGCTCCTCTGTTTCAGACGGATTCATTAAAACTGAACTGTTCTCTCTGCAGACACTGAGGTGACCTGTGTTTTCAGTCAGAGCTGCATCTTACCCTGTTCCTTCCAGTTCACTTCTGACTCACTGATCCACTGGATTTACCCAATAACACAAAACTCCAGTATTCACTCCTACTATCACAACAAAGACCAGCTGGGTCACCAGAACCAGAGCTTTCAGAACCGGACATCGCTGTTCCTGGATCAGCTGTCCAGAGGAAACGCCTCCCTGCTGCTGAAGGAGGTGAAGATCCAGGATGAGGGAAGATATAAATGTTACACCAGCAGCTCCAGAGGACAACAGGATTCATTTATTAGACTAAAAGTTGAAGGTTTGATTTTCTTATTAAACTATTTTTCAGAAGTTGTCAATCAGAAATGATTGTTTTCTAACAATCTTTGTGTTTTCAGCTCCAGTCTCTGACATCAGGATCCATCAGGATGGAAACAGGATCACCTGCAGCTCAGAGGGGATCTACCCTCAACCTGAACTCACCTGGTCCACTGAGCCTCCATCCAACACGGCTCTGCAGAACAGAACCACAGTCCATCAGACTGAGGAGAAGCTTTATGACATCAGCAGCTCTCTGACGGGTCCAGATGGTCCAGATCTGACCTACAGCTGCAGCATCAGAACCAGGAGGAACCAGAAGACGGCCACTTCGAGGAGTCAGAGTAGGTTAAATGGAGGAGTTTTACTTTTTTCAGTAAACGACACATTTCCTGTGTGAAACTGCTTCCAGGGACCAGTCTGCCTTCTGCCGCTCCAGAAGGTTCATCCAGACATCGAGTCGTTTCCATGGTGATGGTTGGGGCAGCGGTTGCTGTGGTTACAGTTGTTCTTGTGGGGAAATATAAAATGCAGGTAACCCAACCCTATTTTTACTCTTTTTAATTTGATCCTGTATTGTTCTTAATCTCCTTTTTAATCTTCAAAAAACATTTAATGTCCCTTACAAATAAATCTTTTGTTGTAAATACTCCTGGTTATTATGAGCTGCAGGATTCAAACCAACAGTTTGACTAAAAAGTTTGAAACATCTGACAGTTTTCAGTTCTGTTTACATGACAGAAATCAGAAATTGACACTTTCCTAAGGTGTCAGTTTAATCCAGACATACAAACAGATTAAATTCAAATTAACTGAAATTTAATCCTAGTTATTAAATAATGAGAGTCGCCGCCGAGAGGCAGAGGAGCTCAATCATTTCATAGATTATCAGCCTCTATGGTGACATGCTTAACAAATATTTAATAAAATATTGTTATAAAAGTTTCACACTGCTGCTTTAAGCAGCTTTTGATGAGCTGCTGCTGCTTCATGGAAGAACTTTCACTTTTATCTTCTCTGCAGAAAATAGCATCAGCTCAGCATGGAGGTGCCCAAAATCAGTTTACTTCATAAAACGGTGATTCATAAACTTGATCATTTCTAAATCAATTATCCATACAGCAGTGCAGAATAAACAGCTGTAGGTCTTTTCTAACTCATTTATTTTATTTTGCAGCAGAAGAAGAAAAGGACCTGAGGACTGAGAGCTAAAAATCACAAAGAGCAGAAAAACTGGATCTCTCTCTGTCACGGCTGATTAGAAGTTTATAGACATAACTTTATATTTTATTTTCTTAGTAGAAATTTTAATTTAAAAAAAAATTATTGAAGGACTCCTGAATTGTGATAGAAGTTAAATAACTGCTGTTTTCCTTTGGTACAGACGGTTCAGTTTGAACCTATAATTTGTTATTTTATCATGGGGATTAAGGATCTTACCTCCAGGAAATAACTCTGAGCAATCTCAGTTTGGAGAAGTTTGAACAACAAACTCAAACTGAGCTGCGTTATGAGAGCAGGGCCAGTTTTACCATCCAAGCAATAAAAATATTTAAAACAATCATGTTGGTTTGATTAAACTTTGTTCTATAGACATGCACTGCTTGTACTGTTGGCTGCTTGTTAGCTGCTGAAGGTAAAGACGTTAAGGATGATAATCAAGCAATAATTACTATGATAATTAAGCACAAAGTGAAATTTGTGAATAAAGGATTAAAGACCATTGACAGATTGTTACTGTTAAAACGAAGTGATGCAGCAGACTGAGTTTTCATGGGGATTTGTTTTATTCTGTTTAGAATAAAACAAAAATGAAGACTCTCTTTTAATATTATCTCTCTCCTGTTTTAATTTGAAAACATATGTAATATTTTGAAGCATGTTGAAGATTTTAACAAGTTTATTTAACATTTTTATTTATAAAGTCATTTTATCATTTGATGCAATCTCTTGATCATCATTCTCAAAGACTTTTTTTTTAATCCCGAGCAGCTGAAGGCCTAAGTTCTGCACAACATCCAACTGTTTTCTATGTGTTTCTGCTAGATGATGCAGAGAGACGATCAGAATCAGGCTTCACAATTTATAAATGATAAAACTGTCACAATATTCTCACTGCTCAAAAGAAATTATTTTTGTTTAGCTCATTTTATTGAAAATGCACATACTTATGTTCCACATGTACCAAATGACATGTAGCAACAAACATGACATAAAGTAAATGCAAGTCCTTGCTTCAATCAGCAAATGTAACATAATCCATAAAGATCATTAAATACATTTTTAGAGTCATGAAAAGGGAGAAATAATGTTCCAAATAAATTCACATTTCTTTAGTTAATTAACAAAAAATAAAACATACACACCCAAAACATCAAACACTGAGCAAATCATGTTGAGGCCAAATGAAGCAAACTGCAGACCTCTCCTACCTGAACACAGGTAAACGTCTGACTGGCTCTACTCTGCCCTCTAGTGTGCAAATAAAAAACCTTCTGTGCAGCAAATCAGAAACATTCAGGAAGCCAGTCAGAAATAATTACTTCTGCAATTTCTATTCATATTTTCCTTTAGTGAAAAGGGAATTAATCACTTCCAACATGGAAGAAATTAACCTCTTGGCTGAAAGAAAATTATAAATCTAAACCTGTGCTGGGTGAATAATTTCAGTTTCATGGAAACAAACATGATTTTCTGTCCAATTTTACCACCAAATATACCAGTTAGACCAAATCTGCATCAGATTCAACCCAAAGAAAATCTGTTAATGTGAGAAAAGACTGGAGTCTGGAATTAGTGAGAGAAACTGATACAAACTCAGTTTTAGTCAAACATGTTTGGATTTCTGAGGCGGTTCTGGATGCAGAACAAGAACAAAACACTGAGAAGCAGCGGAAAAGGAAAAGCTGCAAGGCGACTTCTTTAAAACTTCATTTGTGTGTTCATAAACAACAGCAGCTTGTTGCTGTTAGCTATAATCTAACTAATTACAGTTACACTGTGTTAAAATAAAACAGATATTCCTGGATAATCAAGACAAAACAGTAAATAATGAAGAATTTTATTGAAAGAAACCAAATAATTAAAATAGTAAATGTAAACTTAATGGGACTTGATTTAATAAATTGACATTTCTGAAGAAAATATTTTCCACAAACTTCTTATCATACATTCTGACTGACTGTAGTCACCAATCAAATCAAACTCATTTACATATTTTAAAATTTGATCTTATTTGTTTTTTCTGGAACAAAAAAATAATCTGTTATTCGATCAATGAGGGAGAAAAACATCCAGAAACGTGACGATGATGATCAGAGAAACTCGGTGCAGCACTGAAGCTGCAGCCAAATAAAAAGTGAAACTAATAACCAGGCTGGGTGGATCCGTTTCTCTGATCTGATCCGTTTCCATGAAGCCATAATCCCAGCAGGTTCATGCAGGTAGCATGAACTGGGACCAGTAACTGGGACCAGTTGGACCATGGGCAGCATCAGGAGCTTCATGGTTCTGCTGGTTCTGAGCTTCCAGAGCATTTCTTCAAAAAGAGGTGAGTAAAGCATGAGTCATGTTGCTCTGCAGATTTTTATCTGAGGATAAAACAAACAGAGACGTGTTGAAATGTTTCTGTTCAAACTGCAGCTTGAGTCAGAAAACTTCAACTTTTCTGACATTTTAGTGGTTTTATTCTGTTTCAGACAAATTATGAATTTCAGACATTTTTCAGATTAATGTTTAAAATCATGTCTTTTATTTTCTAACTTTATGAAAAAATATTTAGCTTCATACTTTCAGTTTTCTGATTATAAGGCCAAGACAAATATAATCTACCAGTCTCTATTAATGTTTATATATTTATATATAAAACACTGAACATTGTGGAAACAGATGGATTTTACTTTAGCTCTGTAAAATCTGTGCATTTATTTTGTAATGTGAACATAAAGGAGATAAAAACTTGAAGCAGAACCTGGATCTCAGCCAGCAGCTGGTCAATAGTTTCACTTTTAATCAGCAAGACACTGATTTGATTTACAGGTTAGTTTCTGTTTTACTTTTTAACATTTGAAGAGCAAAACATGATTCCTATATTTACAATGTTAAGGGAAGTGGTGAAACAAACTGAACCACTTTGTCACAGGAGCTAATTTTTATGAATCAAGAATCATTTAAAACAAATTCCTTTATATTGAAAAGTTGTTTTTAAGTCAGTTTTGTCTTCATATTTGCTCTAATTCTAGAAACTAAACCAACACTTGGTAAGATTTTATGTTTTTCCAGTGAACTCAGGACTCTAAATCAAATTGATTATTGCAGATATTTGTTATAAAGTCTGAATTATTTTTTTATTATTTATTTTCAGTCGCCCGGGTGACGTGTGTTTTCAGCCAGAGCTGCGTTTTGCCCTGCAGCGACTCCAGCAGCTCTGATGTCATCAACTGGAGCCGCCTGACACCTGCAGACGGCACCGTCCACTGTTACTATGGCAACCAGGACCAGCTGGGTCAACAGGACCAGAACTTCAGAGGCAGAACGTCTCTGTTCACGGATCAGATCTCCAGAGGAAACGCCTCCCTGCTGCTGACAGGGGTCAAAGTTCAGGATGAGGGAACCTACAGGTGCAACACCAGCGGAAATAAACTGGTTTTTATTCACCTGAGAGTCGAAGGTGGGATTTAAAACAAGTTAATTATTAATTATGTTGATATTTTTAACATTCTGAATAGATCAGTGTTTTATTGCAGCTCCAGTCTCTGACATCAGGATCCATCAGGATGGAAACAGGATCACCTGCAGCTCAGAGGGGATCTACCCTCAACCTGAACTCACCTGGTCCACTGAGCCTCCATCCAACACGGCTCTGAATGAAACTACCAGGATCCAGAAAACTGAAGATCAGCTTTACAACATCAGCAGCTCTCTGACGGGTCCAGATGGTCCAGATCTGACCTACAGCTGCAGCATCAGAACCAGGAGCAACCAGAGGAGAGCAACACTTCATAAACTCAGTAAGAATCAGAACCAGGTGGTTCTGGTTTGGTTCTGAAGGTGTCTAATCTAAGATGAACCTAAGATACTGAGGTTCATCTCATCTTTCTTATTTCTTTCCAGGAAATTCCCAGATTGCTGAGCAGAGCTGGCAGATTATGGAGAAAATCCTGATCGCTGTGACGGGATTATCACCTGTAATCTGCACAGTGATAGCAGGTAAAATAATTCACTTCACTCATTAAGCTGCAGCTGAATGATACTGGGAAAATATCTGATATGCAATAATATTGGTAAACAATGAGATGGAAAAATAATTGAGATAAATAAAGAATTCTTCATGTATTTAAAGATTTCATTTTTATTAAACTCTTAATGTTTTCCTGCTTTGGAAAATAAACAAAGACTCAGGTAGTGAGTCGTCTGTTTAGATACTGGAGCGAAATTAAATTAATCTTAACATGATTTTATTTTTAAAAATCATCTGCTGTTTTCAGCAGCGATGAAGCTGAGCTGCAGCTTCTTATCGATTTCAGCAGGACTTTCTAAAACATTTTCTGCTGCATTAATCAAACATCTACTACAATATTTCCAGCACAGAATAACAACTTTTTTCCTGTTTTCTAGAAATTCTGAGTCGCAGTTGGAAGAATAAAGCAAACTAATGGTGAGTCAATCAATTTTCAAATAAATTTTACTTTTTGGCATCTTTTTAGCACCATAAAGTGATTAAACATGAGCAGCAGGAGGATTAATTCAGACGAGTTTTATAGAAAATAAAACTGGAGGAAAGTCTGGAGATCCTGCAGACGTTTTATATTTTAAAACTTTAATTTGTTACAACAAACATGTTAAAAATACATTTTATTGTACTTTACATTTATATGTCTTAACTCAAACAGGTCTTTATAATTCACACATTTTAACATGGAAACAAACAAACATTAAGTTATGAGCTCATTTCCTGTCTAATAAAATGCTGATTCATGTTTTATAAACAGTGACTTGCAAAATAATTTCTGCTCATATAAATCATGTTAAATAATGTAATAAGAACAGCTTCATTTAGCAGGCTAACATTTAGTTTTTAAATAATTTAGTTAATTTTGAAATCTTCCTCTATTTTCTCTGAGCTGCAGGAGAATCAGAGGATCTTCAGGACAAACCAGTTCAGGTTCCAGAGTCCCAGTCCAGACCAGCAGGATGGTGGAGTTTATGAACTTTAACTATTTTATGTCAAATAAACAAAAAAAGAAAAGAAAAACTGGAGAATCTGAAGATGAAACTCGGAAGCAGAAAAATCTTTATTCAGCTCAACTTTACTTTTTACACACTGATCACATTTTTTCTCAAAAGAATCACTAAAAGTGGAATTTATTTTTGTATGTGATGCAATAAATTTGTCATAAAATTAGGGACAGAAAATAAATAAAAGGAAAAATCTGAGGCTGAATTTTTGCTTCTGTAAATTTTGCAGGCAGAAAAAATATTTTCTTTCACAAAGCTGTTAATAAATTTAATAAAACTAGATAAATGCTACTTAAATAAAATATATGGCTTTAATTTTATGTTTTAGTTTCTGAACTCGATTTGTATTGTAACAAAACATTTTTCTCATTCTGCTAATCTATTTTTTTTTTTTTCAAATTAAACAGTTTACATTTTTTGCCTAAATATTTCATTTATTTCTTTACTTGTCAAAGTTTCCTTAAAATAAGTTAGAAGTATTATTTGTAAGATATATTTTTCTCACATAAAAATAGTATTTCAATGAAAAAACAACAATGTTTTACTGTTAAATTACAAATGATTCCAGTTGAAAATGAATTTCTTTTGTTAATAAAACCAAAACAAGCAGAATGTCCCTTTATTCTGATCATGCTCTTTAGGAATGTTTTGGAGGTTTTTTTGTGTTAATTTTGCATGATCTGGTGTAAATAAAGGTAAATATAAGGTGATTTTCTAAATCTTCCAGGAAGATGAATCTCAACCTTTGGTGAAAATGTAACTCAACCTCCTCAAAGTGTCATTAAAACATTTAATTGAGACTCGATCTGCTTCAATATGGATTTCAGTATTTCTAGATTCTCTTTTTTCTTCATTTTTGCTCCTTTGATGAGATGAAAATATGTTTTATGCACATTTTTTAAATCGTCTGTAATAAATTGTTTTCTTTTTGTTTCTTGTATGAATGTGGGATTTACAGTGTTAATTTTATTTATGCTTTTTTAAAATTTCAATAAATGAATTGCTGCTAGCACAATAATTAATTATCTCTTTTGTCTTGTGTTTCAGTTGCAGTATCTTATTATTCATCACTGTTAAACCAGCAGCAGTAAAACTGTTCTATTGTAAATTCAAAAACTGTATTTTTTTGGCAAACTGATGAATAAAATTCAGTTAAAGCTGCTATAAATGTGTGGTGCATTTATTATTAAAATCTGTTTTGTTTTTTTCATTACAACTCAAACTTCACCCTTAACAAAAAAGATTTTTACTTTCTTCATTTCTGTAAATGGTTTATACCAGGGGGGCCAAAGTGAAGCCTGAGGGCCATTTTCAGCCCTTGGAATAATTTTATATGGCCCAAATTTATGAATGCAACCATTTTGACCCTCAAAACAGTTTGATGAACAAATCCTTATTTCTTTAAATGGAAAATGTTCAGTACATAAAATGTCAAAAGTAGGACTGCAAAGATCCACTGACCTTTTACTCTTAAATTATTATTAATATAGCTCAAAGATAATCAAATATTCAGCTGATCATGTCATTTTTTTGTACTGTTTGCATTGTGGTGAACTTTGTGCTACGTGGCATTTTATACTTAAATTTTCAACTTAATGTCGTTTTAGATAAAAAAGACTTTTTATTTATCGTTATTATTCTGTTGTTTTGAAAGAAGCTTGTTAATTTGCATGTATTATATTATTATTGTACCTCGAGGAACTACAGATGGAAACTAACTTCATGGATAACTCTGGCACATGATGAGATGTGTATCGAATATTTTCAGTTTTAGAATAAACACATGCTAAATGATGTGCTAATGGTGGAGCTTCTTAAAGAGACAGAGGCCCATTTCATTGCATCATATGATGCTATGATGCAAAGTCAAATGAAGTTGTTTTTGAAGGTAACTTAGTTGTGTGAGATGAAGCCCCTTGGTGTTTGTGTCGCCTTATTTAAAACCACATGACAAACAATGTCTCACATTATTACGTTGGACAAGTCGTCACTTCATTTTGTGTGTCGGTTTTCAAAATAAAAGCGAGATGAACTCAGAGTTGGCTGTGGGTTGGTAGGTAGTTTGGTCACTAGTAGCATCTGAAGAGTCTTTTTCATCTGCAGCTCCTTGTTAAAATCTGTTGTCCAAGACTGTGAAGGTCATCAGCCAACAACTGCTGACACCAGAAACAGTGAAAAAAATCCTGTTCATAAATAAAATAACGACCCACTGCTGATTTGATGTTTTATCATCAGCCTCACACAGCAGAAAGAGACTGGAAGTAATTGGAAGAATGAAATCTAATGTAATCTGGTATAATAAAATGTAAATATAATGAATTAGAACCTGAGATGTTTAGAAGAATTTTAGTTTTTCAGGAAGAAAGTCACAAACACAAAGAATAATGTCTGATCCAACAATCACTGCATTCCCATGACACTAAAACATCAAATGTCCTTATAATTAAAGGAACTTACTTTAGCTTTATTGTGATAATATTGCATATGTACTGTGCTCTAATATTTGTTGAAGTTCAGTTTGAGTGACAAGGCGACAGTTTCAGTTTCAGCAGCAGGTGTCACTAGTGAGCAATGAGCTGGAAAGATTCATTATTTCTTCATGAAGCTTCATTTGGCCGTCAGTAAGACGACAGGAAACTGTTGGTCAGGGAGCTGAAGCACATGGAAACACAGAGAAGGTGGGGGGTTATAAGTACCATTTAGGATCAGTAAGAATGATCAGTAATAATTGATTATCTGTGGCTGTGGGGAAGCTGCAGCTCCACAGAGCCGCCCAGTTTGCCTCATCAACTTATTTGCTTATAAACCAGTCAGACCAGTCTGGTGGCGCTCTGTAGTTGTAAGAGTGAGATGGAAAGTAAAATACTCTTGACTTACGCAGGATGATTTATGATACATGTCTTTGTAATCTCTTCTGTCATGGCTGAGATTTTGTTCTTGTTTTTGGTGATCCAGACATTAAATTGGGCTCAAACAAATGGAGGTAAGTCAGATATTTCCTGCATTTTCTATTTGATCTTATTTTCTCAACAACAGTGTTGGTTTTGTAAATATTGGACAAAGCAAACACAGAACATAAGAAAATCTTATATTTAAAATTTGAGGTATGTAATAATTATTTAACTAAGTTTATTCACACATTAAATATGTGAATTTGGTGGGACGAGGTTGAGTTTTATTTACTAAAGTGTATATTTAAAAAGTTAGGTCTTGTTTAGCTACTATAGTTTACAGAAAAAAATGTGTTTATGATACCTGAGCTTTATTAAAACTAAAATGATTCCACAAACTAAAACTTTGTCTGAGAGTGAAGGCAGCTTCATTGTTCAGTTATTCTGTTAGCAGATATTTAATGTTACTGATAAACACATCATTTGCAAGAGCAATGTGAGAAATGAATTTTCTGGGCATTAAACAAGAACAAGCATCAGAAAATATCTGCAAGAACTCCCAAAACACAACTTCACGAACAGAAAGACGTCATTGTGTTTTTAGAACCTGTGAAGGATGAAGACAGTTCTTTGTTCTTGTGGTGAATGCTTCGGCTGTTACTGTCAGAGTTAAAATGAAAGAACAGCTTTGTTCTGTTCTCGAGTGAAAGAGAAACTAAAACCTGGCAGAGTCAACTCACGTAGCCATGTTAACATATTTGAAATATTTCGCACATTTCCTTTTTATGAAGGCAAATATACAACAGTTTATATCTCTGCTGTGATGTAAACACAACAGTAATATAAACACCTTTGCCGATTCCTGGACAAATACCCCAGTAAAGGGCCTTGAGGGACCCCTGTGGTGAGGTGTTGGGCTGGCTATGTGGGACCAAGCCAGAATAAGTGTAATAACCGACCAGTAAAACCAGTGTTCTCTCCTTCTGCTGACTGTGGATCTGTTCAGGCTGTGCACCAAACTCTCTCCTATGTCTGAACCAGGCCTGGCACTTTGAAATGAACTCAGTCTAATTTAATATACAGTTGAAACCAGATATTTACATAAAAGGAATAAAAAGATACAATAAAACACTTCATCTGGATATTTTACCTGTTTCAGACACATTGGCTGCACAAAGTAATTTACTAATTACCTAATCAGAAAATCCAACTGTAGCCACGGCTCCTCATCCCTGGAAGTAAGAATTAAATGTAAAGATTGCTGTGAGGACCAGATGCTGATTAGACATTAATGCTGGCAGAGGAACAGTTAAAACCAGACATTCACTGAACGCAGCACCTTCAAGCATCACTAAATTGTTCCCAGGGATGAACCAGACCTGTGCAGCTTCATGATTCTCTTCCTGATATATTGGCTGATTTCTTCTGACTTTCCCATCATGTCAAACAAAATATCACTGTGTTTCAGGTGTGCATTAAAATACATCTACAGGTGAAACTCCAATTAACTGAACTTGGTCTGTTAATTATCAGACGTTTGGCCAAAGTCATATAGGAGTCTTGGGCCTAAATGGCCGTTTTTGTATAATTTTGAATTTATCCTATATTTTCACCATAAAAATTATTCACCTTGCCTTATTTGGTATCATTATTTTCAGCACAACCTCAAATTTATCGTTTTACAGTGTTTGTTTCATTTTGACAAATTGCATTATCACAGTGGACCAAAAATCACACAAAAAACAAAATCAGAGTAGAAAAAAAATATTGATATTTTTAATATAAAATTCACAATAATATTGAACAAATCATTTTTCTAACCTATAATAATAATTTATACGTTTTAAAAACGTGTAAAAATGTTGAAAAAAGAAAACAAATTTAAATACATGTTATACATTAAATTGTGTGCAATTTCCCAGGCATTTTATATAACTATTTAGAAAATGTGGCACAATGTCTCCACCACAGCTTCTCTCCTACATCACAAAGTCTCATGTGTTTTGTTTTTTTTTGCAACTAAAAAATATGTCACAATGTCTCCACCACAAATTCCTTCCAATATCAAAATGTTTCATGTGTGTTTTTTCTTACAACCATCTACAAAATGGTTTCCCAACAGGTCTGCACACAAATCAGGCC